ATTCAAAATGAAACCTAGGAGAGAAATAGTCAAAATATGGGAAAATTGTATGAATTATTAGAGAATGATTTGCTCAGCTCTATGAAAATAAGTTTTAAAATCCAGATAAAATAGGCAATTTCACTTCTTTTTCCTTTTATTTATATAATTCATTCCACTTTCCCTTATCCCTTAGGGATACAATCTATTGGGTTTAATGTTTATACTTCTTGTTTGTAGTATATGTCTTTACAAAATGTGAGTCAATGTTGCATTTATTTGTTGCATCAATTTATTTCTAACACATGTATATAGTATTGTATCATACATCTCCCTTCAGTTACTTGTGGGGTTTTTTTAAGCACCAAAGTTTCTAAGATCCATCCATATTGCTCTGTGTACAACTGACCAGTACTTTTCATTGCTATATGTGTGTATCCACCACACTTTATGTATCCTCTCTTCCAGTTATGACCATCCAGATTACCTACAACTCACCACCCACACAGCTAATACTATAATAAATAGTGTCACATATCCACTTTTAAAGTTCTTATTTCCTTCATATACAACAGGCACTTATCTATATATATAAAAGCCTAAGCGACCAAATGACCGGAACAACTGGTTGACCAGTCGCTATAGTGCGCACTGACCACCAAGGGGCAGACACTCAATGCAGAAGTGACCCCTGGTGGTCAGTGCACTCCCACAGCCAACCTTCCATGGCCAGCCAACCTCCCCCAGTCCCTCCCCCCACCCGGCATGCCCAGCAGCTGGCAGGCCCCGGCCAGCCTGGCCCTGATCAGGACTGGGCAAGACAGCTCCAATAAGCCCCAATTGCCAGCCAGGTCTAGGGACCCCACCCATGCACGAACTTCATGTACTGGGCCTCTAGTAAATATATAATATATTTAGGTTTATGTTACTGTTACTAGAACAACTTTTTGGTAACTACATAGTCAGATTTGTCAAACTCTAAAAGCAAGGTTGGCCCAACAATTCTAATGTTGAGAATTTATCTTACAAAAAGATACCTTGATATATGTATAAGGATGTTCACTCACATTCTTTTTTAGAAAAAAACTATAGGGTGAAAATTTTACATGCTCTTCAATAAGGAACTAATTAAATTATCATTTATCCATACAGTCAAATATACAATAGCTATATAATAGGAATGAAGTGCTGATATGATCTCCAAGATGAGTTGATCCATAAAAAAATAAGATATAAGTATATTACATATGTAAATAGATTCTATTTGTGTATACATATGAAACTGTGATTAGTCATTACTTATGCACAGTGAGAGCACAGTTTTCATTTGTAGTTTTGTTTGTTTTCCATTCCTTTACCATTATATTTAACCCATTTATAAGTCTGACTTAATGGCTTTTATGTCAAATTCTCTCTGGGACAAATCAATTTTAAAATATGGAATCTGTATCTATCAATTTGTTTCTTACCCCTTACCTTTCTAGGCTGGGCATATACCCTCTAACCCCAATGCCTACCACCACCAATAACAGAATATATCAGCCCAGTTACCTCAGGTCTACTATCTCTCTCTCCCCACTCCCTTCTGTCCCCTCTTTTCATTGCACTTTTTATTAATTTGAGCATTAACTGGGAAATGGCATAATGTATATGGTGACTTTTGGGGTTCTGATATGCACTGGACATGGAAGGAAAGGAGGAGATAAATGCCTCACCACAACAGCTTCCTCTTTACTGTCATCTATCAGCGAACCCAGAACTGGTGATGGTGTAGTATTTCCCTTTGAAAGAAATTGCCAGTTATGGACTTACGTACACCATAAACTCATCATTAATTATTCTAAGCTCTTAACATGCTTTTCATCTGAGCTTTTAAAGTTCTTCAGGACAGGTATTATTATCCTGTCTATAAAGATAGAAATACTGTGCCATACACAAGATTAAGTGTCTTGTTGAAGGATTCATAGCAAGTCCAGTGAGAGCTAGAAATCACATTCATGTCGTCAGATTTCGTTTTCTCCACCACAGTGACCAGAGAATCAATATCACTTTTCACCTTTACAGGACTATTATTTCTAATCCCTTACTGTATCTCTCTTTTATTCAAGATTTTAAAAGTCTATAAATAACCTTTTCATTTTAAATACACCTAAAAACCCTCGGGTAGTTCTCTATACAAAGCCCAGAGACAACTCTGCCCTTGTGAGCAGACAATAAATGAGGAAAAGGAAGAAGTTGATTTAATTGCCATCTCAGTCACTGAATTATAGTATCATCTTGAACAATCAATTCTGTCTGCATGCACTAACTTCTCAGCTGTTAGATTTTGGATACAATTTCACTTCCCTTAGGGAAGTAAGAGCTACTGAGATAATTTCTTTAAAATCCTTGGAGCTCAATAATACTAAATGAAAAGAAAAAACAGGTGGCCATCTACATCATTCTATTATTCTATTAGAGTTAGGGCCTCAGAAATTTGTATTGCCTCAGGAAGTTCTCTTCCTCAGCAATCCCTCTGATTTATTGACACACAGGATGTTTGCTACGTCAAGAAATTTAGAGAACAGGGCAGAAAAATAAAGTACATACAATCATGCTTCCATAATCCAGGGTTCTGTCTCTGGATAACCCACTACCAGCAGTGTAACTTTAGGTGGGTAATTTACTTTCCATGTCTCAGTTCCTTCATCTGAAAAATGGGGTTAAAACTAATACCCTCATCATAGGATTGTGGGATTAAATTAGTTAGTACATGTAAATAACTTAGAAAAATGTCCAGTGCATTATAAGAACTAAATAAATGTTAGCCATTTTTAGCATTGTTGTTATTGATATTATTAATTCTAACATATCCCATCTAATAAAAGAGTAATATGCAAATTAACCATCACTCCATCACAAAGATGGCGGTGGCCACGAAGCTGGAGCAAGCAGGAGGCTTGGGTTGCCCCTGGCGATGGAGGAAGCCAAGCTTCCCACCTGCCCTGGCCGGTCCTCAGGTCCACTCAAGGCTATAAAGTTTCATTTAGAGAAGATAAATAAATCCCAGATACCTGCTGGAAAAAAAAAAGAAAAAAGAAAAAAAGGACAGGCTGGGAGCTTGGGTCGCCAGGGGGCGTGGCCAGCCTGAAAACGGCCATCAGCTCCTCACCCAGAATGGCCAGGCACACCAGCGGGACCCCCTGACCCTGAAGGGGCTGTGGACAGCCTGAAAACAGCCCTCAGCCCCTCACCCAGGCTGGCCAGGCACCCCCATAAA